GGAGAAAGTGGGAAGAGAGCTGTTACATTGTGGCAAACTACAGTCAATGTCAGGAAACAAACTGTATATGATCTGCTGTATGGAAAACGAATTTGCTCTGTAAACATTCACCCAAATCACAATGAAAATTAGAAAGAACAGCTGCCATCAAGTCCATTCCAACTCAAAATGATGCCCATCTGGTTTCCACGGCTGCAAATCTTTACAGAAGTAGATTGCTCTATGGTCCTCCCACGGTGTGGCTGGTGGGTTCAAACCACCTGCCTTCCGGTTAGCAGCCTAATGCCTTAACCACAGCACCACCACAGCTCCTTCCGTTTCACGAAGGAGGACCTGAAAAGTGGACAGGGAAAGTAACACACCCAAAGGAACTGAGCTCTTAAGCCGCAGACTCCCAATTAGGACCGTTGGAACGTGTTCTGTCCTCTTCCAACTCCACCTCCATGCATCTCCCTGCTCCAAAACGCCACAGTAGCCATGGCGCCATTTTGGAGCAACAGTCCCATGAGAACAGCACCCTCTACAGTCCCACTTTCACAACAGCCCCAAGAGGCAAAGGGAGGAAACAAAGGATGAGAGGGAGGCGTGGGGAAGTGACAGGACTTGCGCAGGTTCCCTGGCAAATTGAGTTTATCCTTGGACCACAAAGCTAAGTTACAGAGCATCTGTAAGTGAGCCTATGTCTACATAAGAATCACCTGGGAATCTTCCTAAACTGCAGATTCTGATGCACTCAGAGGTGGAAATGCAAATTCTCAGCAGAGGGTTGAATGGAATGAACCAGTTTGAAGCACCGGTTGAAAGAAGACACGCTCCAGAAATGGGTTTCCTAACTAAAGGAAGGGCATCGTTTGGTTCTGCAAGGTTCTATGACTGCTGACGGTGAAGAGACAGAAGCTCTGCAAAGCCTTGCCCTTCTTTCCCTCCCGCGTCCCCAGACCATCCTGTTCAGGGGAAAGGGCGCTGGGAAGGCAACTGGGAGCCCCTGGCTGTGCTCAGAGCAGCCCTATGACCCGGGGCACATCACCTACCAGGCTGAGCTCCAGTTTCCTCACCTGTAACAACAGCGATAATAAATTCTTCCCTGTCTACGTAACCGTGTTGTTGTGAAGCTAAGATGACCATGAGGAAGTATGAGGCAGGGAGCCTCATTCCCACACAAAGCTCAAATGTCCCCTTGCCTCACCTTCCCAGCCCTGAGCAGATAGAAGCACCATGAAGGGTTCACTCAAGACGACAGAGAAAGAAAACCTACTGTGACCCCATCTCAACAGTCCGTGACACTTGCACGTAACCTGTATTTTTTTTTTTTAAGAGTTTTTCCAGGTAATATATTAACATCTATTAGTGTTCTATGCCAGACACTACACACAGGTTTCTGCATGCTGTCCTGTTTCTAGTTCTCAAAGCACCATTGGACCCATGGCAAACCTCAGGCTCAGAGGTTAAGGGCTGGCAGGTGGAACCAGGTTGAAAGCCAGCTCCATCCAGCCCAATGGTTCCCAAAATTTAAAATGCTCCTGAATCCCTTCCACCAGAGTGATGAGTAATGCACATTCAGATTCTGCAGGTCTGGAGTGGGGCTTCCAGAGCTCTGGTGGTGCAGTGCCTAAGGCAGTTGACTGCTAACCAGAAGGCTGGCAATTCAAACCCACCAGCCACTCCTCAGAAGGAAGATGGGGCTATCTACTTCCACAGTGATACCACCTCAGAAACCCAAGGAGGGGTCGCTATGAGTTGAACAGACTTGACAGCAGTGAGTTCAGTTTTTTTGTTTTGAGAGTGGGGCCTGAGAATCGGCATTTCCAGCAAGCTCCCGGGTAAACGGACTACACTTTGAGTAGCTGGGGCTCAATTCTAGGTTCCAATGGGGCAGAAGCTGTGGCACTAATCCCCAGGCCTCTACCATGAGGCCCAACCCTTAAAAGGGGCTCAATTATTTATTAAACGAGTCAATGAATAGCCAACTCAAACCCCCGGCTGTAACACTTCTCTCTGTCCAGTCTCAGGTCATTTGATCCAGGTACAGCCAGATCATCCCCATTTGACAGACAAGGAACTAGAGGCTCAGAAGAGGGGTCTTACAGCTTTTGTGCACCCGCTGGAGGCGGTCTACCTTCAAATCCTTTGCCTTGACCACAGCTGTCCCCAAGGAACGCGGGAGAAATTAATAATTACAGACAGCCAGACGACAAGGAACTGGACCCTTCCTGGCACATGACCGGCTCGAAGCTCAGGAGGTCACCCAGGGCTCCGCTGCGGTCCACTGCCCCGGGGACCGGTGCTCGGCGCCCCCCAGCCAACCCGGGAGGGAAAGGAGGCGGACAGGAGAAGGCCGGCCCGGGCACAGTGCCAGGCAGCAGCAGACAGGTGGCCAAGTGATCCTCTGCCTGACCTCAATGAGAGCCCCGCGGGGCGCAGGGACACCCCAGCCCACCCCCACCCCACTCCCGCTGTCCGGCCTGGAGGGCCCAGGCGTTCAGGGAAATCGCCGCCGAGAGATGAATCGGCGGGCACCTGACTGCTGGGGAGGGTGCGCAGCCCGCGCGCGCTGCGGCTGCGACTGGGATAGCGCAGGCCCCGCGCACGACCCCCTCCAGCTCGCATCCGGGGAGCCGAAGGCACCCCAAGTCCAGCGTAGCGCCACCCCCGGCAGCCCGGGTCCGCCGCACTCACCGCCTTCAGCTGCTCCAGCCGGTCCTTCATTCTGGGGCCCGGGCGCCCGGAGGCAGGGGAGGCGTCCCAGGGGAGCGCGTCCCAGGAGAGCGGCCGGAAGTGGCAGCCGGGCCGGCCGCGACCAGGGAGCTGGAGCCGCAGGCGGAGGCGGGCGGCGGCCGCTCGAGGAGGCGCGTCCGAGGCCACCGAGGCTCCGCCGCACCGCCCCCTCCGGCCCCCGCCCACGCCGCGCGCTCCAAATCCTGCTCCCAGGCCGGCGACGGCGCAGCGCTGAGCCGCGCGGCACGCCCCTCACCTGGCCGCGCCCGCGCGTCTCCTTAAAGGGCCCGCTACCCGCGGCGGCGCGAGCGCCACCTCCTTCCAGCCGGCGCCGCCAGGGGCCGTAGGAGTCCGGATGGACGCTGGGGCAGGGCTAGATCCCGCCCGCGGCGGAGGAGGAGCGGGCGGGTCCGTGTGGCTTCAAGCTCATCCCTTCCCATTCCAGGGCCATTACGTGTCTCCTGCCGGGGCCAGGCTCTGTGCTGGGATCCACCCTCGACGGACTCATTGCCAGGTGGGAACAGCGTTCCGAAAACAAGTACCTCTAAGAATGTAATTGCCCTACAATAAGTGAGAGGAAAATGTTAGGGCACTCTCCGGGACAGAGCACCGAGTCCTGCCCGGGGGAAGGGCATCCCCTGTAACCGGCACAGCGATGGCGCAGCGCTGGGGCGCCGGGCATGTGCGTCGGGGCTGGGGGCTGCGCAGGGCTGGAGCCGAAAGCGGGTGTTCCGAGAGGAAGCACCTGGATGTGCGGCGGATGACTTTGGTTGGGCGAGGAATTTGCATCGTTTGCTGTTGGCAATCGGAGCCCCTCGAGAAATAGAAACAATTCAGAGATGAAGTCAGAACCCCTTTCACTAACATTTGTGTAACGTTTGGAAAGTCGCGGTTTTTCTAGGCAGCTCTGTTTTCGTGCTTATATATCGGAGATAAAACCCACTTCGTAGTTTATCGTGAAGCCTGTGTGTGAGAGGAGGAAGAAATGTAATTCGCTAATTATAGCAAACTCAAACTCACTGCCGTGAGTCCATGCTGACTCATAGTGACCCCCATTGGGTTTCCAAGCCGTAAATCTTAACGGAAGGAGATTGCCCCATCTTCCTTCCGCCTAGCGGGTTTGAACCGCCAACCCTCTGGTTAGAGGTCAAATGCGTTAGGCACTACGCTACCAGAGCTCCTGCTAATGACAGAGCAGTTGAAATCATAAAGATGTTTGCATTGCAAGGCTGCAGTCATCCCTGTTTCCTGTGTGTTGTAGATGTTCCAAGAAGCCTGGTGACGCAAACTGTGTGAGCCTATCGGCTGCTAACGGAAAAGATGCCTCTTCCAAGTCACCGCGGAAGAAAGGCTTGGCAATCTGCTGCTGTAAAGATTCCAGCCTCTCCCTCCCCCAAAAAAAAAATCCCATAAAGCAGTTCTACTCTGTAACAACACATGGGGTCACCGTGACTTGGAAGCAACTCAATGGTGACAAGTTTTGGGTTGTTTTTGTTTTTGTTGGTTGTAACTATTCCTAGGTGGGTTGTACATTCTGAATAGGAGGAGGGGTGTTCTTTGCGCTGCTCTGTCGTTAACCCCTCTCCTCCCTCTCTCCTCCCTCCCTTCTCTATTTGTCTTCTTGGCAACAAATAGCAAATTCAGCGGAGAGTGAGCTCAGTAAATGGAACTGACAGACCTAGGATTTAATTCTCAAATTAGGTAAATACCTGCTCTGTGCATTCAGGTTAAAAGGCTGTACGTATTTCCTATCATTCTAACAGGACTTTGCCCTCTGTGGCCATCTTAATGCGTGCTCGAGGCTGACCTCATCGCCTTCCATAAAGGTACAGTTTGTAGGACAGGTGACGTTGTTTGAATTGGCCTTACTATTCTCAGCCCTAATCCTCCCTCCTTTGTCCTGCACACTTCCTTCTACCCAGGCATTAGCTAGGTGGAGTATCCCGTCGTTAGGAAAGGGAAGGCTTCCGCACCCCCTGGTGGTCACAAATAAAAAAAAGTGAGAGTACATCAGAAATCATATCCCATCTGCTTCCCTTCATGAGTTTTTGTTATTAGGGAGGTGGCGTGAGCCCAGATAGCTCAGTTGGGAGAACATCAGACTTTTAGGGAGCTCTGATAGGCTAGTGCCTAAGGCATTTGACTGCTAGACAGGAGGCTGGCGGTTCAAACCCACCAGTCACTCCTCTGAGGGAAGATTGAGCAATGTA